CCTTCCTATCCTGAGCAAGATGTCCAGCGTCTGATACACCCATCTGGAGATCATCTGCCACATCCTGCACCCATCTTCTCCTTGGCCTTCCTCTTCCTCTCTTCCCAGGCATATACCCCTCTATTATTGTTCTCTCTAGACTTCCATGACGTTTCAAGTGACCAAAATATTTCAATTTTCTTTGTTTTATTGTCTTTACTAGCCAACCCTCTTCAATATTCAGCTCTTGAAGTATGGATGCATTTGTTCTTTTCTTTACCCAAGATATTCTTAGAACCTGTCTGTAACATTTATATTCAAATGCATTTATGCGCTGTTCCGCTTGTTTAGTAAGTGTCAAGGTCTCACAGGCGTATGTTGCAATGGGAAAGATGCATGCTCTTAAAAATCTGACCTTTGTAATTCTATCTGTACAATTCCATAATTTATTTAGTTGTTTTAGTCTTTGAAGAGCAATTGATAGTCGCCGTTTAATTTCTTTCATTGTGTCACTGGTATATCAGTGCATAATTATATTATTTATTCTTCACAGCCTGTTCAAGATTCTAATTTTGCCGCTTTAATTTTTCTTTTGATATCTCTTTTTTTTTTTAAGATCTTCATCTGATTTTGTATTTTGAAACTTATAGAAAAACATTTTCTTTTTCGTGGATGAAACTTGTATTCTCATCATCCCAACTTCCTTTTTCTAATATGGCTGTCTGCGGCCGTGCTTTTGTTCTAATCCTATATTGATGCTTTTTTTAAACCGGATTTTATTCCCTAAAAAAAAATTATGACTGTATAGCTCACTGCTGGACTGTTGGATACACGAGGGCAGCCGATGAGTATGTAGTAAGCTGTGTAATTAATGTGTGTTATGTGAGTTTACTTATGAAGCATGGCGGACCGGCTGTCATGCCAGCAACATCGACACGTACTGTTCGAAGTATGTGAATATGGCAATCCAGGATTCTCGCTCTCATAACGAAGTTCGTGCACTTGGGCTGAGAGTCTCCTTGTTAGTTCTACTCGCGTTACATAATTATAAACACGAAAAATGGTAAAAATTGTACAAGACACCGTTCTCGCCACCACAGTAATAAAGAGGTAAACTCACACGTGCCACTCAATTATGCCAGTGTCAAAGCTATCATAGAGTGCTGATGTGGTTGCCTTGCAGGAAACATGCCTGGGCAATAACACACTAAAACTGGCATTATTAAAACATTCCACAAGAGAATACGTTAGGAACAGGTTATCTTTCTCAGAAAAAATATCGAGGTATGTAAAGTCGACATGTCCAGGTGGCAGGATGCCGGTTTTCAGCTAGAGGCTCTCATGGAACGTGCTACTTCCAGCATCAGCATCGCTGTCCATATTACCCTTGTAGAAATTGCAGAGAACAGGTCCATTGCATAGTAGACACTTTAGTCAAAACGCTGACTGATGAGAACACAGATGTCAATGATGCTGTCGTTCACGCTGATGAAACTGTCACCCGGGGCAAGCGAAGTGCACGATCGTTCGCTCTGAGCGCAAAGGAAGGGGGGAAATGCGGCGGGGGGAGGGGGCGAAGGGGAAGAGGGGGGGGGTGTAACACTATATAGCTGCCATGGCTGGGTACTCAAAAATGCACACATGCGTGCCTACTGAGCGATTTAATGAATATTTTCAAGAAAATTCAGGCCAGCCTTACCTGACAAAAAATAGATTATGTAACTAAATGCATCTTAAATAACTTGCTTAGCCTCTCTATCTTTGTACCGGGCTAAGCGGGTGTTGAAGGCATTGTGTGTGCAGATTATCCGGCGTTTAATGTGATTATCACGACTAGCTCGACACTGGACAGGAGTGGTGTCATAAATGCTATGTGAGTTGTACATAGTGAAGAAGATCTGACAGCAAGCAGGACTCAGTATCAGTGTCTAGGCTGGTGTACATGGGGGTGCAACCTGGAACATTTCACTAAAGGCACAAGATCTCTGATTAATCATCAACACTGAACGGGCGTGAGCATGTGAGGTGTTCTTGTGGAGCTTTTGAGGAGGAGATGGAAGTATCTATGGATCTGTCCAGAGTGCAGTGGTGATAGTCCTCACTAATCACATCTCCATCCCACGACACTGTATTATTTTTTCTATGAATGTCGAATATTTTGAGGCCTCAATTCTCTTTCACTGTGTTCAGGATTAGGTTTCACTAGTCTGTTTTTCATCGTCTATGTTTATTCTTTTAAGAATGCTGGAAAAAAAAATTCTAAATTTTTTAGCTTTTTCTTTGTTTTGTTTCTTGAAAACGCTATTTTTTTCTTTCTTCTTTTAAGCCTACCCTGACCTTGTCTGATGATCACCGCGTACTTCTAATGTACTATCTCGTTTTAGTATCTATTTTAATTTGTTTATGCCGTGTCTGTTGGTCTCAAATGGTTTTATTACTTTCCATAACAGTGTGTAATGTTTATATATTTTCTAAATACCTTGCAATACCTCTTATTCCAATATCATACATACTCATGATTTTGATATATAAAACAAACAAATCTTCTTGTATTTCTTCTTTTTCGTCATTTTACCCACTTCCTTTTCTTCATTTTCTTTCTCATCATCATCTTCTTCTTCTTCTTCTTCTTCTTCTTCTTCTTCTTCTTCTTCTTCTTCTTCTTCTTCTTCTTCTTCTTCTTCTTCTTCTTCTTCTTCTTCTTCTTCTTCTTCTTCTTCTTCTCTTCTTCTTCTTCTTCTTCTCTTCTTCTTCTTCTTCTTCTTCTTCTTCTTCTTCTTTCTTCTTCTTCTTCTTCTTCTTCTTCTTCTTCTTCTTCTTCTTCTTCTTCTTCTTCTTCTTCTTCTTCTTCTTCTTCTTCTTCTTCTTCTTCTTCTTCTTCTTCTTCTTCTTCTTCTTCTTCTTCTTCTTCTTCTTCTTCTTCTTCTTCTTCTTCTTCTTCTTCTTCTTCTTCTTCTTCTTCTTCTTCTTCTTCCTTCTTCTTCTTCTTCTTCTTCTTCTTCTTCTTCTTCTTCTTCTTCTTCTTCTTCTCTTCTCTTTCTTCTTCTTCTTCTTCTTCTTTCTTCTTCTTCTTCTTCTTCTTCTTCTTCTTCTTCTTCTTCTTCTTCTTCTTCTTCTTCTTCTTCTTCTTCTTCTTCTTCTTCTTCTTCTTCTTCTTCTTCTTCTTCTTCTTCTTCTTCTTCTTCTTCTTCTTCTTCTTCTTCTTCTTCTTCTTCTTCTTCTTCTTCTTCTTTCTTCTTCTTCTTCTCTTCTTCTTCTTCTTCTTCTTCTTCTTCTTCTTCTTCTTCTTCTTCTCTTCTTCTTCTTCTTCTTCTTCTTCTTCTTCTTCTTCTTCTTCTTCTTCTTCTTCTTCTTCTTCTTCTTCTTCTTCTTCTTCTTCTTCTTCTTCTTCTTCTTCTTCTTCTTCTTCTTCTTCTTCTTCTTCTTCTTCTTCTTCTTCTTCTTCTTCTTCTTCTTCTTCTTCTTCTTCTTCTTCTTCTTCTTCTTCTTCTTCTTCTTCTTCTTCTTCTTCTTCTTTCTTCTTCTTCTTCTTCTTCTTCTTCTTCTTCTTCTTCTTCTTCTTCTTCTTCTTCTTCTTCTTCTTCTTCTTCTTCTTCTTCTTCTTCTTCTTCTTCTTCTTCTTCTTCTTCTTCTTCTTCTTCTTCTTCTTCTTCTTCTTCTTCTTCTTCTTCTTCTTCTTCTTCTTCTTCTTCTTCTTCTTCTTCTTCTTCTTCTTCTTCTTCTTCTTCTTCTTCTTCTTCTTCTTCTCTCTTCTTCTTCTTCTTCTTCTCTTCTTCTTCTTCTTCTTCTTCTTCTTCTTCTTCTTCTTCTTCTTCTTTCTTCTTCTTCTTCTTCTTCTTCTTCTTCTTCTTCTTCTTCTTCTTCTTCTTCTTCTTCTTCTTCTTCTTCTTCTTCTTCTTCTTCTTCTTCTTCTTCTTCTTCTTCTTCTTCTTCTTCTTCTTCTTTCTTCTCTTCTTCTTCTTCTTCTTCTTCTTCTCTTCTTCTTCTTCTTCTTCTTCTTCTTCTTCTTCTTCTTCTTCTTCTTCTTCTTCTTCTTCTCTTCTTCTTCTTCTTCTTCTTCTTCTTCTTCTTCTTCTTCTTCTTCTTCTTCTTCTTCTTCTTCTTCTTCTTCTTCTTTCTTCTTCTTCTTCTTCTTCTTCTTCTTCTTCTTCTTCTTCTTCTTCTTCTTCTTCTTCTTCTTCTTCTTCTTCTTCTTCTTCTTTCTTCTTCTTCTTCTTCTTCTTCTTCTTCTTCTTCTTCTTCTTCTTCTTCTTCTTCTTCTTCTTCTTCTTCTTCTTCTTCTTCTTCTTCTTCTTCTTCTTCTTCTTCTTCTTCTTCTTCTTCTTCTTCTTCTTCCTTTCATATGTTACCGCTGCTAGAGTCGAAGAAGACACAAGGGTCTGCTTCTTGCTCTTGTGGCCGCCTTGACTATGGACGCACTGTACTATTTGTTCTCTGCTGTTATCTTTCCATCTTGTGTATTGTCTTCTTCGTGCTTCACGTCCTTCTTCTGAATTGGTGCACGCCTTGTATGGTGAGGCGTGTAAGACATTCTCTCAAACTTGTATGTAACTTAGAATTGGCTAAGTGCTAAATGACCTCTTTTTTTTTATGTGATCTTTTCTGGTCACCTCTGAAGTCCTTTTATCATTTCTGTGGTTACTAATTTTCATTTATAATTTGCTGTAAGTGGCGATGTTTGGCACTGTTAGCATAGCGTAGGAATGAATGTGCCTTATATGAGATGTTTCTTTTTACTAACTGGGATTGTCTTATGCTGTTAAAAAAAAAAGAGAGGAGGCGGGAAGGGTGGGTGGGTGTGTGTCTATTTGTCCTAATACTTGATTTGCTTGACTACATCTGAAGTTAATTTCTGCATCCATTTTCAGTGAGATCACCTCCATCAAAATCAGACACATTAAATGCCACAAAATATAGCTTCTTAGATAAATCATCAAAATAATTCAGAAATATTTAATAAGTGTTATATTAAACAGGCTGGGATTGTCAGTAACGCCAACCAACTGGCGCCTTATTTTGTGATGCACGCGCTGACAGATTTGCCAGGAATGGGTGGACTTTACTTTTCTATGGTATTCAGTGGCTCTTTGAGTACAATCTCTTCTGGTGAGTTAACTGCATTTATTATAAACACCATTTTTCAATCGTTAAGGAGATGCTATTGTTATTATTGTTCTCTCCCCCCCCCCCACTTATTTGTCTTTAAAATGATAATTTATTCAATAACACGTGTTGCAAATTAATTAAACTGTAGTTTAATTTGTGTATTAATGCACTCGATAACAATGATGAGCACTGACTGTCCACGGCCGGCCTCCCCAAAAGGGGAATTTCCTTTGAGCTGTAGGGCCTTATCTGGAGCTGGCTGTGGTTCTCACTATCTTCTTCTGCTTCTTAGTGTTCACCAGCTGTAATCTCCAGTCGAAAGACATTGTTTTTCCTCCACTTCTGGACTCTTGTTTTGTTCCAGAACTTCAGTTTTGCATGCACATCCACCATATATCTAGCTTATTTGTATGTAAGATGTTGGCTCCTCGCCTCTCAGGCAGATGCACTCCTACATCGAAAGAAAAAACCTTTAATTAGTTGCATTTTACGACATTGCTGGGTGCAGTGGATCCCAGAAAAATAGAGTTGCACTGAAGGGACTGATTGCACGTTGTTTGATATTCTATACGTTCTGAAGCTGTTTTGACGTCTTTTGCAATAATAAGGGTTACCATTGTTCCTAAATATTTGCAATACTAATCAAATTAAACCATACAGTCAAGAATAGAATAGTTTGAAAAACAAAGTGATATACGATATGCAATTTAGTCAAAATCCCGCCAACAGCTTTTACTTTCTAGAAAATTCTCTAGAGCGCTTTTATGCCAGGTGGACCTGGGAACTCATATTAATAATAATTAAAAAAGTATATAAATAAATGTGAGCTTCTTCTCTTCCATCAGTAACTTATTCGAAGTGTTTGAGGGGAAAGGGGGTGGGGTGGTGGTGGGGGTATGTTAGTGGCATCTGGGTGTTCTTTTTAATGTGTTGTATAAGCTGATATTTATTTTTTTAATGCTGTTTTTAGTGCCGCATCATCGCTTGCATGAATGGAAACTATAAATTCTTTACAAATCTGGATCCTAGATTATTGCATAGACTATCTGTATTTTATGAGAGGCGCATTTGCATTCTTTCGAAATTAACCGGAGCCCAGACAGAGCTGTTCGATTGTGCAATTAAATTGTTTGTTAAACATCCTTTAGGAGGGCTGACCAAACGGTTAGAACGCTATGTTCTCAAAAGATCCGGGTTCAATCCTCGGTAAGGTTGGGAGGGGGATGGGGGAATAAGGGTTCTGTCGAGGGTAAAAATAAAATCACAACCTGCACTGTCAGTGGCGACAGCACTACCCATGGGGCCCTTTTATCTCCAGGTATCCCCTCCCCCCGCCTTCCGCGCTTGCCGCCTACACTGTAAAAGTGGTGGGTAAAGGCAGGTTTATTATAAAAGCAAGCAGTTACATATTTGTATGATACTTTTTTGTGTGACCCGTATGTAAAATTAAGTGTTTTGATGATACATTTACCACTACTTCAAATGTATATTTGAATTCTCTACAGGAATAAGTTCTCTTGCCGCCAACACAGTAGAAGACCTAATGAAGACACCTCTGAAGAACATTAATGAAGCTACTGTGACGTTCATAACAAAAGTATTTGTGTTTGGGTATGGGCTGCTGATTATAGGACTTGCATTTTCGGCCAGCTACTTAAAAGGTCCTATGACTAGTATGATGATTAGCAGCGTCGGAGCCTGCGGTGGACCTATTCTGGGCATATTTATACTTGGCTCCCTTGTTCCCTGGTCTAACAAATATGGAGCTATCTGTGGGGGCGTTATTGCATTAGTATTCAATGTATGGCTGGCAATAGGAAATATAATGTACGGGTCTAACCTTAACACTCTACCCCCTCCACCAAGTGACATGTGTTTTCAGAATTCCTCGATGTTAGATTTTACTTCAGTCAATGCGTCAATGACCTATTTTAAAAATCAAACTCTATATTCTCGAGCAGCCATTAACACAATGCATGGTCAAATAATAAAACGAGATCGGTACAGTTTTTTCTTGTACGATATCTCTGGCGACTGGTACGGTTTTATCGGAACTATTGTCTGTTTTTTGTTTGGTATCACAATTAGTTACTGTACCCGGAGACGATGCATACAAGTTACAGATGCCAAATTACTCTTTGCCTGTGTTCGTCAGATTTCCTCGTCGAAACGGTCTAACGGCGTGGAAGAGCATCACGACCCAGATGGGAATTGCACGTTACTTCTGTACAAACCTGATCTTCAAGTTACCACATTAGTCACAAATGGTAATGCAAATCATGATGTCGAGGAGTCGCATCGTGGAATCATTTAGCTAAGAAATATAAGCGTGCATTATTGATCGGCATTGAAAGAATGAGATGGAAGACAATTAGAGATCATTGAATGAAAAAACATTATACAGCACAGAAAAAAAAATTTATGGCCACGCTCGGAAGTTAACTTCATTCTTACCCGTGCGCTTTCCCATGGCGAGCAGACATACGTTCAACAAAGTCGCATATGTTCAATCCATACTCAACTGTGCGCGGGATTGATAACTGGCAGTTGACCTGTCTGGTTGTGAGAAGTACTCCAAAATCATCTCGAAGACTTGAGTGAGGCTAGACACTGTATTGCAATCCGCGTCAGTTCATACTAATAGAACTGAGTGAGCCGAACGGGTCGCGAATCAATGATCAACACATGTACAAGCACGAAAAGTACAGTGATCTGGTAGCCGGTTTGAGGAGTAATACTGAGTAGTAGTGAAACAATAAGGATAATCTCCAACTCCACATACAATGTGCTAAAGCCTGCTGGACTGACGAGGAAAAGTGCGTTAACGTGCACTAAAGCAACTAGGAGAAGCTGCAGAAAGAACTTTCAACTCCTTAAACCAAATGTTGTCCGATTATCGTTTGCCAGTGCTACTGCCAACTGCCAAATTCTGTTCGAAAAACCTTAGTCTGATGACCCAACCGTCCATCTGTCATTGTGGTTGTGCATGTAGTAGCTTAATTTGCTACCACAGCGACGTTATCACCATTACCGCAGTACCGATTGAAATTACCATAACGTCTTGTCTGGTTGTCCCATAAGCAGGAGACGTCTGAGGCCTGGGAGTCTTGACCTGGGTCGGCTAGCCCACTCCCCCCCCCCCCCCACGAGATTTTCGAGGAGTTAACGGGTGAAACAATTGTTAAAATGAGGACGCCTACTGAAGATCGGTAGGCTCATCTTGTGCATACTGCCATCGTGGAGTTCTGCTCCTTCTCTCTGTCATTCTTTATTTCAGTTTCTAAGACTATAGATTTGTCAGAATGATCTGCACCGAAGATACACTGGCAGCAGAAATCGAAACCATAAAGAAAGCTTTAAATCTACATGGGTACGCCCATGGGTTTAATCAAATGCCACAGCATCCAACTTAATGTAACCCACAACGAAATTACTGTTCCCTAACTGCAAATATTTATCAATTTGTTTCGAGGGTGCGATATCATCCAACGTCTCCAGGACCGAATAAAAAACAGCCCTTGGTCACAAGACCGCTCCCATCTCTATCCCACCTGTTAAAGAACCAACATCTAATCTTATTGCATTTATCAATTTACACGTGCCAGCTGACGAACATAGGTCATCCGAAAAGACAACTTGAGTTAGAGAGCACATTATCTAAATGGCTCCACGAACAACTGAGTAGAGATCTTGTTTCAAGAAACAGAAAAGAGAACCCACTTCGAGACTACGTCATTTGCTTGTCTCTAGAAAGTTGAAAAAGATTGTGCCTTCAGATGTATTTACAACACATCGAACATACATTTGCTGAAACTGGATGAAGCCGTATCAATAAAACTGAACTCTGTGTGTCATATAAGCAAAAAGAACATGTGATAAATTTAGAGTTATGGTTAATCCTGAATTGCCGGTGGAAAATGTACAGCCACACTGGACAATGCGATTTATTGTTTCAGCGAAAAGGATTCATTTTTGTGCTTTATTATATGGTGTTTAACTCTGTATTAATGCGTGTGATGAGATACAGCGAAATATGCCAGTCATTAAATTGTACAATGTATTGTTTATGTTCACATTATATAAATTCACAACGCAGAAACATTGTTTTAATATCAAAATACATTTTTTGTGTACACATCCAACTTGTTTGTTTAATATTTGCGAAGCCTGTGCATAACTGTCCATCTTGAAGTGTGCGCAGTTTGATATTCAGACTGTGACAGAAGATGTTAACAATGAAATCCTACTTCACATACGTGCACAGGTTAACGGAACAAAACACATCCGGACTTTTAATAGCTAGGTACTTGTTACAAGTAGGTAGAATGTTTAAATCAGAAATAAAAGTCCATTGTGAAAAATGTGATCTGTTTCATCATCATTTAAACATTACCACGCAGTTCTCTTTCTTTATCTTTCCGTTTCTTCCTTTTTCCGTCTCTTTATCTTTCCCTCGCATTCTCTTTTCGATTCTTCATATTTCCCGTCATTGTCTCTTTCCCCCTCTTTCTCTTTCCAGCTCTTTCTCTTTCCGCCTCTTTCTCTTTCCCTCTCTTTCTCTTTTCATCTCCTTCTCTTTCCGTCTCTTTTTATTTCTGTCTCTTTTGATATGTGCTCAATAAACTTCTTCAACTTGGGACCGCTACTGAATACTCTGTGTGCCAACTGATATCAGGGCATTCATATGAAACAGCTAAGGCATTTAACATGTTGTTTCCTTACACCTTGATTCTGCTATCATGAGTTTTCATCATGAATCTCGATTGGTCAGAGAACATGACAGACTGCAATTGCGTTCAAGGCATCAGCCAACATCTTTCCACTGAAGTATTTTCTGGTCATCCTTGGTCTTCTCTTCCTGGTCTTGAAAGGTCTCTAGTGAAGTCAGTTACCTGGAAACGTTATGGCAGTCGATAAAGAGTTAATCGCGAGACATGAAATTCTTTTACGGGTTAAAGGTGGCTGATAATACAATGACTATGATTATGGGTGTCGCAGCATGATGGTGAAAGGTTTTATTGATATTAACTCTTCTTTTAAAAATAAGTCAGAAATTAAGAATAAAAATCATTTTATGTCAAATGAAACAATAATGCTGTTCACAGTTTTAAGGAAGTAAAAATTACATCGAGTCTAAATGAGTCGTTTTCAAAATATAGGCTTTTCAAAAGTGTTGTCTTTGCAAGATAGTATAGATGCTGCGATATTTTTATTAAATATTATCTGTCTGATTTCTCAGTCACATTGGTCAATTTTATTACAATTCCCATTTTAAATCCTAACGCAATGAGATTAAAATCGTTAACAATTCGCTATAAAGGACTTACTTAAGCTTTCTTAGTTTCTATATGAATGATATACATTTTTCAAATATGTCTAACCCCTTCTTCTCTTATTTACGCCATATATATATATATCCAAGTCGCTACATTACCTCACCTTGTCCCACAATTGTAGTGTTCCGTCTGCATGCACATACGCCAGATCTGTAAAATGGATGGGCACTACAAACTGATAATCTAAAGTCCAGAAATGGCAGCGCGGAATTTACAGCTGTGAACACTAAGGGAAAGATGAAGTGTTGCTTACACTCCCTTCAGACGTAGGAATTAGTTCTAAATAAACTACGTACACTTTAGGCTAGAACAAGTACTGAGGCAACAACTGATTGTGACTGAAAGAATAAACACGAAAGGTTAAGTTGCAAATCGAATAAACTCAGATAAAATAAGTCTTAATTTTAAATCACTATAGCAACAAGTCAGAAAGAACTACAGGAAATGATAGACATTGTGGTGTTAGAAAGTGGAAGAATGGGCCTCAGTCTGAATAATGGGAAGACAGAAGTAATGATGGTATCAAAGAAACCAATTATTCCTAAATGTGTAATAAAAGTCGATGGTATTATTTTAGGACAAGTACAGAAATGTAAGTATCTGGGCACATGGATAACATCAGATGGAAGATGCATAACTGAAATAAGAAACAGAACAGGACAGGCAAAAACTGCATTTTATAAAATGAAAAACATCTTGTGCAATATATCCTTGTCATTGAGAGTTAGAAAAAGAATTCTTGCTTGCTACATACTTCCAGTTTTAACATATGGCTGTGAATCCTGGACAGTCGGTAGGCAGGCCAAACAATTTCTTGAGGCCTCAGAGATGTGGTTTTACAGAAGAATGCTTAGAATACCTTGGACAGCCAAAAAGAGCAACCAAGAGGTTTTGAAAGAGGCGAGAGACCGAAGACAACTTATCACAGACATCAGAAGGAGACAGTCATCGTTTTACGGCCATGTTATAAGAAGAATGAAAATATAACATGTTGTGACCACTGGAAAGATCTGTGGAAGGAGGGATAGAGGAAGACAACGAGAGAAGATGATTGACAGTCTTGTTGCATGGCATGGAGGTGTGTCGGCACACGAACTGATACATGCTGCAGGAGATCGCAGATCATGGAGAGACAAGGCACCTGATGATGATAGATTTCAATATAGGATGGTAAGTTCAACAGCACAAATATCTCCTATATGGGCTTTGGTCCACCTTTAACCATCTCCCTTGTGGAAAAGGTCCTTTACTTACTCACTTTCGGCACTTGCAGCGTATCACACATTTATCACATGATCATTAGAGGACACGCTGATAAGTGTCGGCGTTTATTTCACAGGATCACCAGAATCACAGATCAGGAATGTGTTTTTATCGCAGACATACCATAAAGCCAACACTTTTCGGTCATTTTTTTCTTCTAAAATGTCCCCGTCCTCTTCTCCCTATCAAGTGTGTCTATTGTCACCAAGTTGTTAGAGATAATTCCTGCTCATAACATCTTCAGATTACATGACCGCCTATAATTTCTCAAAACAGTTATTGATCTATTTTTTAAAGGACTCTTTAAAAAAAAAATTTTTTTGCCCAGACATTTCATGATGCTGTCTGCATTTTCCTCAGACACTTCCACTCACTGTCAAATACATCTGATTAAGACACTCACATTCTTTCAAACTCAACAGGTAGTTTACCCTCTGCATGGATTGAAAGCATTCGCAAGTCGCAGGCAACCACCGTCATCTGGATCTACACTCGTGGAAATGCAGGAGTAAAAGGCAATGATAGAGCCGACCAGCTGACTGACTAGCTGGCAAAGATTACGCCATTGCGAACTTGGAAAAATCATGGAAAGATCTGATATGTCGGCAGCGGTACATGATGATCATCATCCTCACGTGCCCTGCGGACTTGCGTAGGCGTTCATGCATCTTCACAGATCTCTGTCCCTTGTTATCTGGATCATTTCCATCGATTATATCCTTCCATGCCACCGTCGCAGTCCATCTCTCATAATATCTTGTGGTCTGCCTCTAACTCTTTTACCGTTGATCTTCCCAGTTTTACAAAATTCTTCATAGCCTCCCCTCTTATCATATGACCAAAGACAGTGCTTGTCTTTTCCCTGTAGCTGTATATATTGTTCAGCTTTCGTTAGCTTCCTTCAAGCAGTCCTGGTTAGTTACTTTGGCAGTCCAAGGGATTCTTAACATAGGTCTGAAAAACCACATCTCCGTCGCCTCCAAGATCTTTCTAATTTGTGCATTCACATTCCATGATTCACTACAATACAGACATAATGATGTCTATCTTAAAATGTTCATACCCTAGAGTTTAGAGTGCAGATCAAAACTAATTGTTTACACATTTCTTATTACTTCTAATTTATTATTTTATTTACTTACTTTTTTTAAATAATAATTATCATTAATATGATTTTGTTCTTACAGTAGGATGATGCCAGTCAGGATTGCCCACTCCCACCCCCGCCCGTTTTATTGTGTTGTTGATAATGTCAGCGTTTTATCGGTACATATCACAAACATCACCGCATCTTGTCGCGCATGAGATTTCGCGTCGGCTCCCATTAATGCCGTGGCCGTACCCACGGACTGTCCTATATTGTAGGGGTGTTAACATATTCGTTTCTTCCCCTTCGTCGTCTATACACACTGGCTCCAGTTCATTAGAGGTTCGACACGAAAGTGCGCAACTCTTTTTCGTGGCGGGCGAACGTTTGTGTGAGTGTATGTGTTTATGTGTGTGTGTGTGTGTGTGTGTGTGTGTGTGTGTGCGCGCGCGAGCGCGAGCCAGTGTTCAGCTAGTTTTCTTTTCTCTGTCAACTACGTCTCTTGTGCAACCGTCACTGTTCTGAGAATTGGTGACAATTTGGGATGGTCTCCATAAAAGGCTATCTGCGGAGGTGGAGCTCGCTTGATATTCGGCTGAGTTTGGCTCGACTACGCTATCGGTGTCGTCTGCGTTTTGGGTTATTAGCAGCCCGGGAGCACATCTTTGTTAAAGAGCCAGTCGTACCAGCCATTTGTGAAACGATTGTCTCGTGAACTGCAGAGAAAACACGCTTGGTGTACTTTTCAGTTCACTCAACAAGCCTTGTCGACTCTGCAGGAATCGAGCTTTCAGTATAGACCGCAATTGTCTAGCATTGATTTTTCCATCATGGGGAAAAACAGCAAGCAGCCGCACCTACACCAAAGAAGAGGCTGGCCATACCCGCTTCGTCTCAACCAGCATCACAGGAAGGCCCCCCTATCGCGGTTCCTCGCTCACCTATGCCAGCAACTGAAGCCGCCCCCATCGTGGCGCCAGCACCAGAAGCCTACCCTATCGAGGAGCCGACACCTGAAGCCTCCCCTATCGTGGAGCCACCACCTAAAGCCGCCCCAGTCGTGGCGCAGGGACCTACCAGCACCCGCCTACCAAAGCAGCAGCCTGGTACTTGTAGGTACTGCTCGGGGGCCCACGACTTCATGGAGTGCCCGCTAGCGAAACTCGATAGCGACTTCAAAAAGCCTAACAAAAAGCGGAAATGCAGCAACTGCTCAGGTGCACACAGTGCGAGGTACCTGGGTTGCCCATACCTTAAGAACTGCAGGAGAGAAATGACAGCCGCCACCGCCAGAGACACATACCAGGCGTCCAGACAGTCAGAGGCAAGACCGCCGAGAAACATACCAAGAGACAAACAAAACGATAAGGCACGCTCCGCCACCATTCAAAATGATATACCGCAAATAGTCGACGAACTTAGAAGCCAAATCACAGCACTCCAGAAAGAAAGAACCACCGCGGCCGCTGAAAGAATGGAGACCCTGGAACTGATTTCCCTACTGCTAGGGGAGATCAAGGACCTAAAGGCAGAAAGGCTGGCATACGCTACCCAGCAAACAAACAGACAGTCAGAAGACGCAGAAAACCTTCAAAAGACCAGAAAGCTACTTACCAGCCTCAAAGCAACACAGGCAGAAGAAGAAGTTCGCCGCCAGTCAGAGAGAGAGAGAGAGAGAGAGAGAGAGAGGAGAGAAGGAAGGAGCTGGCCGAGATAAAAACTGCACGGAAAGCCGCATGCCGCCCAGCTAGAGAAAGCCACCGCAGAAGCCGTAACAGCAGCACAAGCAGCTAAGACAGCAAGAACCCTGCTGGAGACAGAAAGAAATGCTACAAAAAAGCCAAATACCAACAAGGCTGACAAAGGCGTCTCCACTGACAACGCAACAATGAAGCATCAGGCGCAAATGACTGAACCAGAAGACGATGAAAACAACGAAGAAGACTCAGAAGAGATCCCAGTCATCACAGACACAGAGCAGTCAGATGGAGAAATCATATCCGATAAAGAATATACACAAGCAGAGCAGGAGCTTCCGACTGCTAGCAGTGCACCGCCCAATGAACCCGCTCCGAACGTCTTCGACAAGGAACAATTCATAAAAGACCAGGAAGAACACATACACTAGAGAACTGCCAAGTATGGAACGCAGAACAGCAAAAATGGGGCCCACTGCAAACAACTCTCACCCAGAGAAACAACCGAGGTAGGCGACGACGACGCTACTAACGTAGCAGAAGCCAAAAACCCGAGCCGCCATCTTCCAGGAAAAACCAGCCCGCTAAACGAATGACGCCAGTACGCCACCAGAACCTGACAGCAGAAGCCAGAACCCACCCATCCCGTTCCAGGCCACCCAGGCACATATGGCTGTCGTTTTCAGGACTGCCATTTCCACTCCCAAAACCTGCAAGCCGCCCGCCAAACCCACGCTGCTGACATGATGCAACAACTAAAAGGAAACTCAGGCGAAAAACATCGCCACAAAAGAAAGAAATTTAAGCTCAGACAGCAAATAACCCGTCCTTGAGAAAACAGGCCATCAGGCGGTTAAAAAAGGACCAAGCTTATCTTTTTTGTTTCTCTTCAATCGAACGAACGTCGAGCCTGTATTTCAGATGCGTCTTGAAGCCACGTGCCATGTCTAACCGCGAAATCCTGTCGACAATGCTCCTGAGGCAGGGATGCTGTGCTGTTGCAGAAAAGTAACACTTTTCTGCTTTTCGGTCGCCAATGCTGACAGTCGATGGAAATTCATCTCGAAGTAAGGTCGCAGTAACAGCGATGAATAGCTAACGAACAACCCACAGTGCAGGCCGCTCATAATATGGAAAAAAGAACGTGCTGGCCGCTCACAGCGTGGAATAGAGAGTGCTTACAGTGTTTAAAATAACACAACATGGCACCCCTAGAACATAGGACAGTCTGGCATGAATAGGAGCCGACACAAAATCTCGCGCAAGGAGAGACGTAATGATGTTCGTGAAATGCGCTATTTTCAATCCGTTGGGGGGGGGGGGGGGGGAGAGGGGTTATAAACTACTTGGAGGTCTCAATGTTATAATTAATTGTACTCATATATAATCCAAGCTCTAATGGCCTAGCCTAGTTCTTATCGGTGTTATATAATCATTACTGCACAGTTGCACCCAGTAATTATGCTCTAAATACGAGCCGAATAATATTTTCCTATATATAAAAAAAAGTAATCCCCGTTGTAAAGTATCAGCGTGAGTTCGTTATTTTCCCCATGTTATAAAGGTACAGTAGTTTGTACATCAGCCAAGACAGTCACAGCATAGAATGGAGGATACAGTGTCACTGCGGATGGTCGATTACGTTGTGATAGCCCTCACATTGTCTGTATCCTTGGGGATCGGAGTCCTGTTTGCTGTAAAAGATTTCAGAAATGTCAACAGAACTGAGTATTTACTTGGCGGACGACGCATGTTTATGTTGCCTGTTGCACTATCTATTTTTGCAACGTTTACAGTAAGTATATTAAAGTGTTTAAGGATGTGAGGGTGATTGTGTGTGTATGGGTGACTATGTATGATAAGGCGATTGTGTGTGTGTGTGTGTATATATATATATATATATGTAGGTCTGTGTGTATGTAAGAGTGAGTATATGGTATATGTGTTAGTATTTGGTTTTTAATGAATGACAGTGTAAGTATGTATGTGTATTCAGGTGTGGGTATGTTTCAGTGTGTATGAATAAATGCGTTGGTATGCATCAGTGTATATTTGTGGATATATGAGTGTATGCGTGTTTTTGTGAATGTATATGTTTGTATGAATGCATGCATGAGAGTGCATGTGTGCTTCTGTATTTATGAATGCATGTTTGTATAAAGGTGATTGTGCATGTGCGTGCACGTGTGTATATATGTGTATATGTATATATATATATATATATATATATATATATATACTAAGTTTGTGTGTATGAGTGTGTGTATGTATAAGTATGGGCCTGCTTTTGTCTGTGTATGTATAGGCAAATAATAGTTTATATGTACGTATATTTTCGGAGCGTGTGTAACTGCGTATTCTTTATGTGTGTATGTATTATTTCATTATGTATATTTTTATATAAACATGACAGGCAATTATGGATAACATGCAGTTGGGGACTGAAAGATGAGTGCTTAGAAGGGTTAAATGTAAGACGAGTCTGCTTGCCAATTTGTAAGTCTTTGAAAATAAAGCTTGTCCGTTCATTCGTTCGTTCGTTCTCTATTTCTGTCTCATAATCTCTTTATATATATATATATATATATACATACATTTAAAGTCATTTCCGCCATACTGCCATAGCCTGTCCCAAGTAGGATAAGAGGAGGAGGGGGGGGGGGAGGGGGGGGGGGGGGGTTAAACATAGGGCCGGCATTTTCAAAGGATGAAAGACAAAATTCTTCTTCGCAACCAAATCTAATAACTGGATTTGCTATGTTTAGACATAATGAAATTTAATAATTAAGTTGGTACTCATAAGATGAGGGACCAAATATCAGATCGACTAGAGCTGCATGAATTTTTTAATCAATTTAGAAAAAAAAAAAAAAAAACCTATTAATGTCAGAAAGTGTAGAGGAGACCATGTGGGCAGTGACCGCGTCTAACAAGGTTGATAAACTAGGGTTTATGGTTTATGGTGTATACAACGGATCAACATCATGGCACAAGAGTAGTAACTCATAAGCGCTACGTTCTATTTTTAACTCAAGCCTTAGAAAATTATCAGCGCAGTGCACGAACTCCTTAGCACCAGCGAGAGTGCTGAAATACTTTGGGAAGATTTTTTGCTACAAATTTTGTTTGGGCAGCGCCGTTAGGTTATTCTTTTCAACTTCCAACTGCCAATTGATTTTTTTACATGCCCAACATTACACATGGGCGTCCGATCTTACTGCCTAAAGACCAGGGAAAATAACTACAATTCCGTGTGAAAAAATCCCAGCATTCACCAGGGCCTCAACACGGAATTCCAGCACTCGAGGCAGACGACATGCATCGAGACCTTTCAGCCCCACCTATTGAGTTTGGCCTATAACCAAAAATGTTATACTGGGTATGGCACAAAAAGCCATAAGTTGTGGTAGGTAGGAGGAGCCTTACTTATTCTTTAACAATTAAACCCCTATACAAATTTGGGTTATCTAGTAAACAGCAGCTAAACTGCATGCATAGATAGTCAACAATTTTGCAGGAAATGTAAAAGAAACATTCTAACCTATTAGGTTGAAAAACGGATGTGGGATACTGGCGAAGGAAGGAGATCCGAACATAAGAACACATAAAATGAGCTAAAGATCACCATTTTAAAATCAGCAACAATCGGTCGATCGATCGGTTCATACCCTCGGGCTGCTATCAAAGTTTTACCTCTTGAGATAAAACAATCTAAGCCTGGATAACAAACCAACATGGCAGATCTCAGATAAACCACCGTTCAATGTCTAAAGAATTTATCATTAGGGCAGCCATAAGGGTTACAGTAGCCGGTATAACCTGCAGTACCGCAGTGGAAGGAACGATAATCGGCATGGCCAAATACAAAGGATCGAAGGCCTTGGCGTAATGAGCAGACATGGCAGTGTAAACAAGAAAGAAAAAAACAGAAGCATGCTGTTTGCAATGCTAAAACTGAATAAGTCATTAGGGTTGAAGAAGACAAAATATAAATAGCAGACAAGTGAGAACAGATATGAAAATAAATCAAATGTTTTGCAAGACGCGATAAAAGGACAGCAACAGAAATTATACCAGAAACATTCCAGGAGGTTAAAAATAAAACTCTCACTACTGTAAGTTTTAATACCTTTTTAGGGCTGTGTAGACAGGTCGTGCGCTTGAGGATTTAGGGCCCATTGCTTGTGCAGCGAGTGTAATGCCTAAATGATATAGGCATAACTTATCAAGTGTTGAATTATCTTCATAAACATTTATTTAGCACACTATAGCTTGAACACATCTGGCCTGGACAGTTTTCCTATTCTTGCATTGTTCTAGTGTTTAAACACCTATATGTACTTTTTCACTTGTTCGAAAACCATATAACAATTCCACTTTCAGTCAGGAATTTCTCTTATGGGGATCGTTACTGACATTTACATGAACGGAGGCATGGCTGCTATACTTTCCGTTGGGATGATGATAGCTTACGTTGTTGCTGCCTTCACAATTGTGCCTCTGCTGTACCCGCTGCAGTTAACAAGTCTGTACGAATACCTTCAGATGAGGTACCACTCCAGAACTCTACGATTATTCGCTGTCATGGTTGGAATTCTACAAACACTTTGCTATATGGCCATAGCTCTTCTCTCCCCAGCTTTGGCGTTGCAGGTCAGTGTGCATCCTTGAGTGTGACCATTTGTTTTATTCTTCTTTTTGAACCTGAATGACTGAAAGACTCGAATACAAAGGTCAGTCCAACAGGAACAAATCTTGGTTAACTAAACCATCTTTTTGAAGTACTATAACCGGTAATTACCAGTTAATAAAGATTATGCGTTGACAAAAACACAGCTATGCGAATTAACAACCGTTTAGGGCAATTTCCGATCATTTAGAGGGACGTGCGACAATGATGTGCACTGCCACCTGCTTTATTTTAATTACAAAGCGAATATTTAATGAGGTCTTTAATATAAATGTCAGGAATTCTGCTTGGTGATAATCGTATGGATAATTTACTTTATCACCGTTTTCATATTCATAGCTACGGGTACGAATAAAAACTGCAAAAATGATACACATAGTTGTGTTGGAAAGTCAAAGAATGGACCTGGGTTGAATATGTCTTTATGCTTATTTGGCATATAGGGCTAGACTTGCATTTTATAGCCCAATCGGCACTTGGTGAGTGATGTGGTCAGCATCGCCCCAACCGCCGTTACCTCCCAGGACTGAACCTGTTACCCACTCAGGGCTGAAAGCCAAGGTTATTTTTGGAAAATGTCTTGCCCTGTCAGCTTTTATAAGATGGAAAAAGAAGTAATGGTAATACTAAACAAACAAAAATGTGCCTAAATATATAATTAAAGTTGCTGGTGTTATTTGGGACAAGTACAAAAGATATATTATCTGGGCAAATGGATAGCTATCATGCTCAGGGTTTCATCGACATCGCAGATGGATCATTCCATTAAAAAAAAAACTGTTAATGTGGTATTGAAAAACTGAAAAACACATCACTTTACCGTGTTTAAAGGCCTAAAGATATCAGTCCTGGCAAAATTATACAGCTCGCATGCGCCCATCAAATGCATAGGGCAATTATTAGTGTAGCCACGACCTACAGTCTGTCACTAGAATTGCTTTTGATATTTAATGGAAGCAGCAGTCACAACAAACATCAGGCGCACACGAATCACTGCATAAGGCAACCAGATACTCGCCATTTTCTGAATATGCAGTTTACAACACACATCTTTAGGAGTACAGATAACAGTGGTCAGCAGATTTTCAAATTTTTTTGCCCCGGAATTTAAATACATCATTTCGTGTTGATTTTTACTTGCTGATTTAAAAAAAATAATCTTTGAATGATGAATTTACATTACACTAATAAAATAATGTATGCTTGTTGAATTCTCAGGAGAACAGTCATTCTATTTTATTTCAGCATTATAAATTGTGGTTACACACTCAGTTAATTTGATATTTAAGAAAATATATTTTGATTTTATTTAAAGTTCAAACTTTTTTGAATAGGTACATTTGAACCCATTTCGTCATTATTCAGTCACTGATAGTGCTTTCTTGACTTTCTTCTGATGAGGTGCCTCATGTGTAGTCCATCAGCGATAAGCAAGCATTGAATGGCTCCAATAATCTTCACCCCCTTTTGTTTCTGTTTTTCTTTAGCAGCAATGACCCGGGGAAATCATTCACCATGCTAATCACTGACAACTCCACGGTTTGACAGATTGACATGTTGCAGCCAAGGCTCATACATTTAGAAAGAGATTTTCGAAATTACTGGTCACATCTGTTATTTTCAAGAAAACTGCACACCACTGATTTAAAGATTTGCTAGCCATGTTGCTTTTTCCTTGCCATGCAAAACGCGAAAGATGCTTGTCATCCTAAAGAAGAATACGAACTTGCAGACCAACAAATACTCCCTTTTTTGTTGTTAGCTTCACTCAAATCGTGGACATTTGCTGATGTGGTATTTGAAACCCTCCTCTGTTTCAACCACTGCACTGACAAAGTTTTTCACGAAACCCAGCTTAAGGCACCTATGATCACAGCACATTTGAATCTCCTACCTATAAACTAGGAAGAAGAGATAACAAGTTGTAAACGAGAAATTAGGAAAAAATGTCGGGATAAGAGTGCATGATTACATGTTAGTTATTGCTCATCATCATCATCATGTGCCCTACCAACTGGCGTTGGCGCTCATGCGTCTCCACAGATCACGATCCCTGGTTGACTGGAACAGCTTTCTTGATGTTATTTCCCCCCCCCCCCCATGCCATCGTTTTAGCCTATCCAACATCATCTCTCTTGGTCTGCCTCTACCTCTTTTCCCACTGATCTTTTCAGTTGCCACGATGTTCTCCAATGTCTCTCTTCTCATTATGTGGCCAAGGAACAGTGTTTTTTATTGTTGTATATAGAGATCTACGTCCATTAGCCTGATCCAAGCAATCGTTGTTAGTTACTCTGGCCGACCAAGGTATTAGTAACTTTCGTCTCAAAAACCACATCTCTGTTGCTTCCAAATTCTTCTTATTTTGTTCACTGACATTTCAAGATTCGCTGCCATTCTGAGTTTTCTGAGGAAAATAATGTGCTGATAACGTTGCCTTCCACATCCACATGGGGTATTTTTTTAATTGCCCAGCTTAAGGTAAATACATTGTCTGATCTATACATGTCTGTTTCAGGCCGGGGCCAATCTGCCAATGTGGGTATCTGTTGGTATTGTGGGTGTAATTGGTACCGTCTACACCGCCATCGGTGGAATTAAGACTGTCGTATGGACAGATGCGTTTCAGGGTCTAGTGATGATTGGAGGTCTGGTTACGATCATCATTAAGGGTAAGTCTTTTGAAAGACAGTTTAAAACTATAGGCTGTGTAAGTCTGAATGTTGGCTAAAAATAAAGAAAGAAGCACATTTGCAAGTGCATTACTTCAGGCACTCTAATCTGGAAAATTACCTGGTATACGGACACTTCTCTCCAAACTGGGTAACCGGTGTAAGGTAACTATGCAATGGATACCATCCCACTGTGTTGGTACTGGAAATGATAAAGCTGATAAACTAGCTAAGGAATGTGCAAACAAAGAACAGCCTGAAGCACCAGTCTCATAAAAAAAAAAAAAAAAAATTCAACCAGAAAGCCACCAAAACCGGCATAGGAGGATTACCTTATTATGGACATAACCAGAGAAAGTCATTTTTCTACGCCTTAGAACAGAACACAGTCCACTTTGGAGCCACGTGTTCACAAAAGTTGGGATTGACGTATCAGGCATTGTACATGTGGATTGGCACTTGAGACAACAGATCACGTCCTCCAAGACGGGACTGTCTCAAATTCAACAATGCAACTCTTTTGGTCAAGAGAAACACCAGTACAAGCCAAACTTTACGTGTCGATTAGTGAATTATGAAAGATATAAGTTCATAAGAGAGAAAACATTGCAAATATAGATAACCTATTTCAAGCAAAGTAGAAGCAGAAGCAAAAAAAAGAAGAAGAAGAAGAAGAAGAAGAAGAAGAAGAAGAAGAAGAAGAAGAAGAAGAAGAAGAAGAAGAAGAAGAAGAAGAAGAGAAGAAGAAGAAGAAGAAGAAGAAGAAGAAGAAGAAGAAGAAGAAGAAGAAGAAGAAGAAGAAGAAGAAGAAGAAGAAGAAGAAGAAGAAGAAAGAAGAAGAAGAAGAAGAAGAAGAAGAAGAAGAAGAAGAAGAAGAAGAAGAAGAAGAAGAAGAAGAAGAAGAAGAAGAAGAAGAAGAAAAAGAAGAACCTCTCCTACGCTGTCTGGAATATTAGACATATAAGGATAGACTATATTTTTTTAGACCACTCGTAACTCGGTGGGTGATATGATCTACAAAATCTGATAAGCTGTGGTTCTGAACTTCACAAAATCTGATTAGCTGTGGTTCTGAACTTCACAACATATGATCTACACCACGCCAGCCGCCTTTTCTTCACAGGAAGATGCCTGGGACCCATTTAAGACTAGGTCGTCCTGGGAGCCAAACGTCATTAAAACAAAATGAGGCCCCTAACCTTTGGATCTGCAGACAACCATCTAGCCGCTACACTACGAATGCTACTAATTATTCCTAATACAGTGGCGAAATTATGTTGGGTTGTATACTAAAAACCTGTATTTGCATTCTCATCCCCAGGATCGATTATTGTGGGAGGTGGAGGAGAAGTTTGGAAAATTGCAAGAGCTGGAGGTCGCGCAGACTTCACAAACTTCGATCTCGATCCCCGAGTTATAGACACATGGTGGGGAGGAACCATAGGAACGGTTTTCTTTTGGTATGTGTCCATACACACACACACATATATATATATATATGTATGTGTGTGTGTGTGTGTGTGTGTGTGTGTGTGTTATGTCCGTTGTCTGACTTCGGCAGATCAAGACTGATGAAACAAAACAGTGTGGCAAAAATTACCAAGGAAAAATTGCCCAGCAGCAAAATTATTAGTACTAATTCATATCAGTTGTCGGTTCAAACTTCACAAAATCTGATTAGGTGTGGTTCTGAACTTCACAAAATCATACCAAAACAAGGTTTGAACCTGTGCGTGACTGAAAACGGCACAACATATCTAGAGCAGGCAATCTCGATATTTAGAATATCCCCTATCTCTTCCCTAGCGAGCTGGCAATTCTAAGGTGACTGTCTACTTCCCGCATTGAACGCGTTTAAAAAAAAAAAAAGTTTTGTAGTTCAAAATGAAGCGAATCATCGTTGGAGCTACGGAGTACATGCTCTGTGTTTAATACCATCTTCAGCTGACAAAAGAGAGAATGGGAATGAGAACAGACTAGAACATGGAGACAGAAAAAGTTATAGAAAAATGATGCAGCATCCTGAAGGGTAAGACGAAAGAAAGAAGTGGCTTGGGTGATTATTAGAGTGGGCTACTGGAATTGCCAGAGTGTCAAGCAGAGAGAGCTTGTACGTGAGAGGCTGATTTATGCCTATGATATCACCAGACTTCAGTAGTTTTACATTTTTAAGTGTTTACCCTAAAATAAGCTATCGAGATCCGTATTCTCATCCAAAATAAAGAATATTGTAATCCAAGGAAATGTAAATCTGACTAGAAAGGGAACTGCGGCAGTACTCGTGAATATTATAGGATGAGCGGGGCGACTGGAGTAGATAGCATTTTATGGTCTCATACGAGAGACCAGAGATCTATATTTGGCATGGGCTGGATATTCGTTTTATGTAATGGGTATAATACAAGTTCTAATCGGCATAATTCATGGCGACTACAATAGGTAACTGGTCTCAATACTCATGATTCCACTCCATTTTCTTCTCCCGATTCACATCAACAAGTGGTAAACACAGGAAATAGAGAAATGCTCTCGCCTTCCCTCCCACAGGCGTCCACCATCAGCTAATTAGCCCAATTTTTACAGCTTCCAAATAAGTTTTCACTAATCTACCAACTGCCTATGATTCACTTTCGTGTATCAAGATAGAATTTATACAGCTTTTATGAGTTCTCTTTCTCGTTTCAGTATACAAAGAAGAATCGCATAAAATAATTTCCATTTTGAAAAATACTACCCTTGCAGTAACTTAACTTCATTAATACATCTTCCATCTGATCTTATTATGGTAAACATATCAACTTACTTAGCGTTTGGTCCATTTACTGTGACGTTGTATTTCGAAGGGTCACTTTTCTTAAAAATTACAATTTCTGCATTTTTTTTTTCTTCTTTCTTTTTTTTTTTTTTTTTTTTGCTGTTAAAACTGAGGCTTTTCTCACTTTCCATTACAATTATATGCATCATTTCTTGCAGCTGTGTTCCATTTTCAGCGTTTAAAGCTACAGCATCAGCATAGCGCTGGTTGTTAACAATAGGCCTACCACCTGACATTCCTGTCATACCATATATGGATCTAATAACTGTTTTACTGTCAAAATTGAATAAATCGGGTGATAGTACACATCCCTGTCTAACGCATTGTTTCAAATTCCAACTGGCGCATAGTGCATATTATAAAAAAAAACTTGTATTTGTATAGACCAGGTTTTCTTTCTGAGGTTTGAGGTTTGAATAACAGATCAACGTCATGGCGCACGGGTAGTAACCCATAAGTACTCTGTTCTTCTTCTAACTCAAGTCTCAGTCCGGAGAAGCTCAGCACAGTGCACAGGCTCTGTAGCACCGGCGAGGATCCTGAAATACTTTGGGTAGTTTTTAAACTACCATTATTGTTACTATAGGCCTATAGAAGATGTGGTCAACATCGAGTCGCCAGCTTTTGTTTCTCGTGATAATACACAGTACCCATTTTAAGTAAAGGTCAACCTGGGAGACAAGGTAAACTGACAAACAAACAAAAAATTCACATCAGACTCGATTCGGATCATGGAGCCAGCTACCGTTGCTTTCCTCATTTGGAAGTGACAAGTTCAAACCCAGGTAGGGTCACGTAACATTATACCGTCTAGTTTGTTCCCCTTAATCTTCCCTTTATTCCTCGATTCCATTGTGTAATTTTAGCAACTGGTTTCCTAAACACAGTATATGACTTGCATTGCAGGTTAGCAACCATCTGTAGCCAATCCTCTGCACAGCGAATCTCAGCCATGAAGTCAATGACCGAGGCTAGAAAAGCATTCCTATTGAACGGTGCTATAATCCTAATGTTTGGAGGCCTGATGCTTGCTGTTGCGTGGGTCATGTACGCCTATTTCTCTCATGTGCGTTGTGATCCTTTCCAGGTAAGATGTACAGCAGAAGAGCCTATATTCCAAAGAAATATCACTAGTTAGTAGGGCCATTTTAACTTGATGAGACATTAAGTAATATAGTCCTAATGTGTGTGTATTTTAAATTGCGCCAGATAATCTCAGACAACTTTAAAATGTATATATGCCTTTTTAATATATGAATAAAAGAAATGTTAAATCATATTATAAGAAATAATGGAAAGTGCACAAAATCACACACACACACACACACACACACACACACACATATATATATATATATATATATATATATATATATATATATATATATATATATATATATATATATATATAAAATCCTCTAAAGGTTCTCGGTTATAACTTAAATTATTTTTATAAATTTGAAATATATTACAAGAAAATTATATCGGTAATAAAAGGGAGTTTTAGGATGCCCCTGCAGATTGTGAGGCCTTCACCTGTAGGTTATATCTAAAGTAATAGTTTTGGATAGAAACGAAGTGAGGAAATGTCCTATTTTTGGTTTCATACTACTAATTTAAGTGCAGGCATGAGTATATTAAAAATACAGTTTCTAACACATTTAGTAGAAACACTGATAAATGTCCCTGTAAGTAACAACTAGGAAAATCTCGTGATCGACATGACCTAGTTAGACGCTAAAAGTGAAGTTGCACTAATGCTTGCACATATTACCTGTCTCTAGGCTTGGACGGGGAAGGGGGGGGGCGGGGGGGGGGGAAGGAACGACTTGTATCGAAGGACATTGTCCCCTCCTATAGGCTGCTCAGCCAAAGAGCTTCAGACACAATTACTATCCATCCGAATCATATATTTATTGGAGTTCCCCTAGCAGCGGCAACAGAAAACAGACTTACCATCTGTGTGTAGTAGACCTCGGGGGAGAAAGAAAACAAAATAAAACCGTTCCAAACTTCAGAAGAAGTTTTTCCCAAGCCGAATATTTCGGCGCCTCTATCTTCCTGACATTCTGTGAGAGGCGGGTTCACTGGAGTTGCGACTACGTGATATCTTTCTTCTTTTGATTGTTCAAACTCTCCTTCGCCATACAAAGGCATCGGTGAACCCAAAATGATACCAATTTTATACTGCCTGATGGTCATTTATTGTGAGCTCCTAAAAGCCACCCGGCCATTTGGAAGGCTAGCTTCCCGTGCTTTACGTTAACAATCGTTTGGGTTACCGTCACTTGGCGGGACGTCAGCCAGCTTCCCTTTACGTGCTAACAAGTCTCTAAAAGTAATCTTGTCTTCAGTTCGCAATTATACTAATTGCATCGCTATAGTAATGAAAGAAAAACTCTCCTCATGGATCTCACTAATGTGTTGATTCAAGGCCCTTCTTCTATCCCCTTCGCTACACTCCATCCTTCCCTTTTACGTTCCTGACAAACGTTAGCTGTTAGGTCTTCGGCAGATATTTCCCTGTGAAGAGGGTCATTGTTAATAGCTAATATGCTTACACAAAAAGGCTTTGTAGATCGATAGTTATTTTCACTGTAGGAGTTGGCAGGATGGTTCGATTGTTTTGCTGGTCGTTCTGATTACTCCAGAGCAATAAAAAAGACTATCTCTGCTGCCTCTCCCAGTTGTTTCCGTGTATTGTAAATGCGGTTAAAACCCCGCCCACTAACTATTACATGACAGCAATGAGTCATATACTGCAGAACCCTCCTCAGTCCTCATTATGAGGACCACATAACTGTTTTTATCTATCTTATAAACGTGTCATTCTAAGAAATCATATTATAGGAGTGTACGATCGATAGGTTTTAAGTGACGAACAATCGAGTGGTGAAGTAAGATGTCTGGTCTCAAGCGGGTCATACGGATAGTGTCGAAGCAACAGTTTAAGCCTTTTATGTCTACCACTAGCTGCCAGTCGTGCACACAGTAGAGAACGGAAGTAAGCTTGCACGGTGTTTGACATTACCGATTGTTTCCTGTCCAACTTTGATGTACATGTGTTAGATTTTAGCAATGGGTAACTCACTTGACAGCATATTGTACTTACATGTACACATACGTTCAGATTGTTTCGAGGCAACCGACGAGGCTTTTTAGGTCTACAACTATATGTCAGTCTGTCACACAATAGAGAACGGAAGGAAGACCCGCAGCATGGTTGACATTAACAACTGGTTCCTGTTTAGCTAGCTTTAAGGAAGTAGAAAGGCTGGATTTAAGCAATGGTTAACTCGCTTGGCAGCATACTGTACGTACACGATGGCGGGCTATTCGCGTTGGTGTTCCTCCATAAAACCAGCTTTGTACAAATACTTTCTTGCCCGTGGACAGTACGTTCTCCAGAGTCTGCTTCACTGCACTTATAGGACATGAGCTCCTTCGGTCTTGTCCCACTTGGCAATGAAAGCAACGGATTTTAGAACATGCTACACAGATCAGACCTCCAGATGATACTCACCACCATTGCAGCAGCAGCAGCAACATACACAAAAATAACTCGATTTGCAAATTTAGGTATATTTGGCTTGCTACTAATGTAAAGTCAGCGTCTGTGCCTTAGGCGCTGCGAACGCTCTTCTTAATTCCGGGGTGCCGAGTTCGATTCCAGCAGCGGTCGGTTTGCCTGGCGTTTTTTTTTTTTTTTTTTTTTTTTTTGACAGTGGTACCGAAAGCTGACCCTCTAGTAGGCAATGACAAGCTAATCAACTTAAAATTTGCATAGAAAAACTACTACAGCCAAAAATACTGGAGTTAGTTCTGCAACTCCTGAAAAGGATACGCAACTAACTATTTATTAATGCAAAGCATACTTCAACAGTAATTTTTATTTTCAACAGGGAGGCCTTATCAGAAACGCTAACCAACTACCACCATATTTTGTGATGCACGCACTGACAGATTTGCCAGGAATGGGTGGGCTTTACTTTTCGATGATATTTAGTGGTTCTTTGAGTACAGTCTCTTCTGGTAAGTTGTCGGTTACAGTTAAGATACAGACGTTTGTTAAATGTGCAAGCAGATAACGGAGATGTGGCTACAGAGAGTAAACGATCGTTTCCATCTAGAGGAGTTTTAGTACCTGGTGCTTGTTCAGTTTTTTTTCTTTTTCGACAAATACGCCCTCGAACAAAACACAATGCATCTTTACTTCCAATGAAATTCTTTAATATCCATTTCAGTGTGGTTAGAGATGTGTCTGCCTGTTATTTAAAAGAACAAACATAGTCTTCTGGAGAACTTTTAACTCTTAAAGACCGAGGGTTTCACTGTGCTTAGTACATATTTCGTTCAGGTTTCACAAATAGCTCATGTTTTAAGCTAGTCATTTCTACGACTGTCTTCACAGGAATTTTGTAACAAAGTATATTATTAAAATACATATTCAGACTGTTAGCTGGATCGAAAACTGAACAATAAGTTGAAAACAAAACTGTCACTACGGTCTGTTTTATTACCTTTTAGGGGGGCGGGGGGGGGGTGGTGTATACAGGGGAGTCCTGAGCCTGAGGATTTAGGGCTGCCTGGCTAGTTCTGTCACCATGGACTGTGCAGGTTAGGATATTTAATTGTGAACCCAACACAAAAACTATTACCTTACAGGGGTCTAACTCGGATATTCCGCATAAGAACTTGACGTTGTAACTGCTCGGCCAACCGCTCCTCGTTCTTACTACCGGTTTAGGTACTTTCTCTCTAGCCTGTAACAATTAATATAGGACCATCTGTACCAAAGTTCGTGTGCTACCTTCACAAAAAATGACCAAACTGTCTTCCTGTGATGATTGACGCAAAGAAAAAGAGCTTTTATCGTTAAACTATTTTACAAAGACTGATCAGTTATTCGGGATAAGCGAAATGCAAGGTCGTTCACAGTCAGCTTGTTTAATGTTTAATTAGGAATCGACATCACTGAACTCGTTAAATTCCTATAAGCGCTCTGTCCCCATCTTCAGCAGCACGTGCAGAGTTCCAATGCCAGTAGTACTAATAGCAGTCTGATTGTATATCCGTCTCCCCATTCCATTGAATGCTAATCGTCAACCGAATTCGGTTTTGTTAGTGGTACCGATAAATGACTGTTCAGTAAGTAATAACAAACTACTAAACGTACAATTTGTTTTTAAAAAAACTAAAACCTCTAAAATGCTGGTGTTGGTTCTGCAACGGCCTGTATAGGTTACGCAACCAACTTCTAACTACCGGGTATCACTTGTATATCACACAATTACCCTCATGGCTTCATTCTGTATGCGATGAAGTTTCATCAGCTGACACTTTGAAATAGTAAACTTAATGGGCGGTCGGCGTCTGTGGCTTAGGCCTTGCGAATTCGCTTCGTAATGTCGGGGTGCCGGGTTCGATCCCTGCTGCGGATGGTTACTCTTGCGATGGTTTCGACCGTGGTACCGAGAGCCGACCGTCTAGGAGCAATGGCAAACTACCGGACGTAAATTTTCCGAGAAAAACAAAAACAGCCAGAAAGTGGTGAGGTTGGTTCTGCAACGTCCTGTAAAGGATACGCAACTAATAAACAATTGGGCAACCCATAATGCGATGAGTGACGACTTTGCTGTTACAACAAGCAGCCTCGCACTAGAGAGCATGGCTGCCCCAAGTGCAGTGGTGTGGCCTGATACTTAAAGAGTTCATAAACGCACGGGTACTAAGTAAAGTGTCTAAAAGAATATGTGATGTTTGTGTTTTGTATATGTAAACTGACTCACACATAGAGTTGCTCAAGTTCTAATTGATCTGTCACAAAGTTCTATAACTGTTATTGTATACTATAATAACGTGTAAAGAATGTTAGACAAAGTTTTTTTTTAAACAGGAATTCTTTAAGTATTTACGACCATATGAAATCTATAAAATTTTAATTCTCTGCAGGAATAAGTTCTCTGGCCGCCAACACAGTGGAGGACCTACTGAAGGCGCCGTTGAAGAACATGCAAGAAGCTACCGTTACGCTTATTACAAAATTGTTAGTGTGTTCATATGGTATGTTGATTATTGGACTTGCTTATGGGGCTAGCTATCTAAAGGGCCCTGTGACGAATATGATGGCTAGTAGCGTTGGAGCCTGTGGTGGGCCTATTCTGGGTATATTTCTTCTTGGTGCCCTTATTCCCTGGTCTAACAAATACGGAGCTATAGGCGGGGGTGTCGTTTCACTAGTAATCAATATATTGTTAACATTAGCAAATTTGACGTATGGGTCTAATGTGAAATTCTTGCCCGCTCCAACGAGTGATATGTGTCTTCAGAATTCCTCTAACATCTCTGCTGCTGCAATCAATGTGTCCAGGATATATTTTAATAACGACACACTGTATAAACATGGTGCCAATCAAACTTTTGTTAGTCAAACAGTAAAATATCGTCGGTATAGTTTTTTCTTGTATAATATCTCATTCGAATGGTACGGATTAATTGGAACCTCTGTGTGCCTTATGTTAGGCATCTTCATTAGCCACTGTACCAGGAGACGATGTAAGAAAGTTACTGATGCCAAACTACTCTTTCCTTTTGTTCGTCGCATTTGTTTATCAAGGCGGTTTAATGACACTGAAGAGCCCAAAGACCCAGAAGGAAATTGCAAGCTAATTTTGCACATATCTGATATGCAAGAAAATATGCCAACTAAAGCTTCTAGTAAAAGCCATGAGGTCCAGAAAAATACACATGATGTTGATAACTCCCAACATGCCATCCTCTAGCCGAGTACAACCTGGCTGGTACTGACAACAACTGAAGGAGGTGGAGAGAGCAATAGATTAAAGATGCAGTGGACAAGCGCACACTAAAGAAGCAGATAAAGGAAGCAGAGAAAAGAAACAGGGAACAATTGAAGGAAATAATTCGAGCAAAGAAATAAGCAGATGAAGGAAGCAGATGAAAGCAACATTGAAACAACTGAAGGAAACAATTAGAGAAAGGTAAGAAGTAGATGAAGGAAGTAGAGAAAAGAAACAGGGAAAAACTGAAGGAAACAATAAGAGCAAAGAAAGAAAGGAAAGAAACAGAGGTGGGTTTTGTGAAATAGAGAATAATCCATGTTTGTGTGTGTGTGTGTGTGTGTGTGTGTGTGTGTGTGTGTGTGTGTGTGTGTGTGTGTTTCCTTCTTTAAGCAAAAGACCTACAAATAGAAACAGATGAAAATATTCATCTGTTAAATTGTCTCATCATCGTGTAGCAGGTCCTTTGTAGAACGTCGCTCTCATCACGGTCTGCCTGAAAGAAACTCAATCTCTTGCCAGTTCTCCCGCCTCATGTACTTTCACACTCAAGGAGTCACTTATATCCTGTGCCCATCTTCGTGTCGGTCGGCCCCTGTACCTCCTTCCTGGTACCATGCCTTCTGCAATAACTTTTTCCAATCCGTCGTGGAGCTTGATATGTCCAAAATATTTCATCTTTCAAGACAGGATGCTGTTTATTAGCTAATCTTCCTCGATGTTCAGATCTTTCAAGATGTCAGTATTTCTCCTCTTCTTTGTCCAAGATATTCAAAAGCTCTAATTGTCTAGTGAAGGAAAAACAATTCGCAGCCGCAGGAATGATCTAATGATCAGTTGCGGCTCGGGTGGTTTGAGGTCATTTGCAGTTCAGGTGGTTTAAGATCAGTAATTCAATAAGGCGCTGCTGCTATGATGATGCGGGAGTTTCTGTCACAGTTAACCTGTACAGATTTTCACCACCCCCCCCCCCCACCCTTTTTTTTTTCCTTCTCTTCCTTTTTCCTCCCCCCTCTTTTTTCAATTTAAAATCAAATATTTGTATTCTGCAAGCGCAGACAATTTATTTGTTGGATAATATTTTTTAGGGTACAAGGCATGGAGTTGTTTTTTGCATGTTAGTGATTTAAAAAAAAAAAAAAAGAATGTCACTGGGCTGTTCAACGTCTCAAGTGCGGCAGTGAAATTTGGACAAGAGAAACATTGGTTTCTGTATTTTCTGTGTTTGTCTACAGAGATTGCATTGTATGTTGAAGTCTATGTGCTCGCTTTTCTGTATTTAATGTCAAATTAAAGAGTAGCCATGTGTTGTTTCTGTAGATGTCGGGGTCACGTATAAAATGTGGATAGTAAATAAATAAACACGTGGTGTGTTGTGTTGTACGTGGTGCCTTTCATAATTCTGATGGTCAAGTTGTTGCCTGTTGCTTCACTATGTTCGTAAAGATCTGACTAATGGGTTGTGTCTATTGTTTACTGTCTTATTTAACACGTATGCATTTCTTTTAATTGACAAGTTATTAATAGTGCTATTTATTATCCTTTAAATGGGGCATTCTAACTGCATGTACCAGAGTGTCAGTAGACGTCTGTGCAGTAAATGATTTGTTCTACATAAAGGATTCTAGATTATTTCGTACTTGTCTAGATGTACTGCAGTGTTACACCTCCCCGTGTCTGGTCGAGTATGTCAATGATTGATGTCGAATGCAATAAGAGTGCTGACTGTGATGGACTGCTGTGGATTATGCAGTACTGTGGTCAAGGTTATGGCTGATTAGTATGCTGTCAGTGTTAAATATCGTGCTCCTACAAAAAAAATGGACTTGTGTACATGTCGCATACATGTAATTTGATAGGTGAAGCCTAGATAGGTTTGCATATGTATCTTGTTGAGAAATGCGGTACCGTATAGTTTGATACTGCATTTAATTGTTGCATAATCTATAGTGTGATACTGTATATAATTGTTGCATACCGTATAGTTTGATACTGTATATAATTGTTGCATGCATCTGGGGAAGAGTCTGTATTTTTATTTTTCATTTAACATAAGTGACAATGCTAGTGTTAAAAAAAAAAAAAAAAAATACACACACCCATATTCAACGTCATAAACATAATATGTTACTAAATTGCGTTAGAAGCCACACTTGTGACATTAAGGAGATAAATATTAAACTTATACATCTTTTTTGATGCATTTTATCTTCTTGCGTTTCATGTCTTCATATGAACCTATTGCGGAACAGGCCTGTTTTACTTTTGTGAACAAGCTAGCTTTTAACCTCGAGTAGGCTTGTTTTCTACCTCAAAGGTTTTATTGAGGGGGAGGGGGGAGGGGGGGGTGAACGTCACGTCGACCTTCCTAATGGTTAAAGATACTTTACCTTGTGACAGGTACCATCAGTATTAGAACTCTGCGCAGGCTGCTGAAGATGAGGACGGAGCATGCACGGGAATGCCCCGCGTGCTGTGATGTCAATTCTTGACTCAACTCAGCTGAACTCAGATACTTTACCTGTGTGCGTGATGTTGTTCTACTTTGATTTGCTTGCTACTCTACGGTTTGAAACTTAAAAAAAAAAACATTAAAAATCTCAATCTGGATTCAAACTAACATGGCAAATCCCTGATCCCCTTTCATTCTCCTAAGAAGTTATGGTATCTAGCGACTATACAACACAAATCCAATCCAAAACACGGATGTGAATCATGGTTACTTGCTATATTTGTGAAAAACTGTTTGAAAGCTAGGAGATGTATGTTTTATAGACGAATTATGAGAATACTCAAACAGGTTTAAAAAAAAAAAATTATGAAATAATGAAAAAATAAACGGTTGGAAAACTGGAGAAGAAGAAAGGCAGAGTGAGATGGAGAGAAAAGATGCCGGACAGTTTGACATCATGACATGGAGGATCAACTGTATCAGAGTTGATTGAAAGTACACGAAACAGAAGATCGTGGATAGCCAAGACTACCAACGTCACAGGTAATGGATTAAAAGAGAAGAAGAAGCGACTAACCCGTCTGGTGTAACCTGCCGTCATGTGCTGGTAGGGACGAAGTTCGATGGCTGTAAGCTCCAGCTAAAAGTCCTGGTTGTTCGTCTATTTGGACTTTGACTTTGCGCCAGGGCCTGTTTTGCGTGTACATCGTTTTACTGTTTTAACTGTGTGCAGCTGGTGGTTCCTCGTTGCTCAGCAGATGTCCTCCGACTTCGAAGGAAGCCCCTTTTTAGTCGACTCCTACGACATGCTTGTTGGGGAGGCAGTGGGACTATTCTTGCTCCCCCTCCCCCTTAAATGTGGGGCCCGTAACCTACGCGTAAGAGGCTGTTTTAAAGCAAAGGTCAGCGAAAATAAAAAAATTTAAACTATTTTGTTGGTGCCGATTTCCACATAACATCTGTCCCTACAGGTACACGTGCATCTACAACAATACCGCGATTCAAGAAATACACACACTGTGTGGGGTGGAAATGTACTAACTAACTAACTACTAATTACTTAGCTAAATCACCAACCAACCAACTTATTTACTAACTCACTCACTCACCAACCAAACAACTTACTAACTAACTATCTAACTAACTAATTTACTAACGAAATTACTAACTAACTAACAAACTAACTAACTAACTAACTAACTAACTAATTAACTAACTAACTAACTAACTAACTAACTAACTAACTAACTAACTAACTAACTAACTAACTAACTAACTAACTAACTAACTAACTAACTAACTAACTAACTAACTAACTAACTAACTAACTAACTAACTAACTAACTAACTAACTAACTAACTAACTAACTAACTAACTAACTAACTAACTAACTAACTAACTAACTAACTAACTAACTAACTAACTAACTAACTAACTAACTAACTAACTAACTAACTAACTAACTAACTAACTAACTAACTAACTAACTGATTAACTAACTAACTAATTAACTTACTCACCAACCAACTAACTAACTAAATAACTAACTAACTAACTGACTAATTAGCTAACTAACTAACTAACTAACTAACTAACTAACTAACTAACTAACTAACTAACTAACTAACTAACTAACTAACTAACTAACTAACTAACTAACTAACTAACTAACTAACTAAACCTACTCACCAATTAACCAACTTACTAACTAACTACTTAACTAACTAACTAACTAACTAACTAACTAACTAACTAACTAACTAACTAACTAACTAACTAACTAACTAACTAACTAACTAACTAACTGAGTAAATAACTAACTAACTCACTCACCAACTACCAACTTACTAAGTAACTAACTTACTCACTCACCAACTAACTAACTAACTAACTAACTAACTAACTAACTAACTAACTAACTAACTAACTAACTAACTAACTAACTAACTAACTAACTAACTAACTAACTAACTAACTTAATCACCAACCAACAGACTAAGTAACTAACTAACTAACTAACTAACTAAAAATCTAACTAACTAACTAACTAACTAACTAACTACCTGACAGACTAACTAACATATAACTCACTAACCAACCAACCAGCTAACTAGTCGACTAACTAACTAACTAACTAACTAACTAACTAACTAACTAACTAACTAACTAACTAACTAACTAACTAACTAACTAACTAACTAACTAACTAACTAACTAACTAACTAACTAACTAACTAACTAACTAACTAACTAACTAACTAACTAACTAACTAACTAACTAACTAACTAACTAACTAACTAACTAACTAACTAACTTAATCATCAACCAACAGACTAAGTAACTAACTAACTAACTAACTAACTAACTAACTAACTAACTAACTAACTAACTAACTAACTAACTAACTAACTAAAAAACTAACTAACTAACTAACTAACTAACTACCTGAGAGACTAACTAGCATATAACTCACTAACCAACCAACCAGCTAACTAGTCGACTAACTAACTAACTAACTAACTAACTAA